TATGCACATGTGTAGTAACACTGGGATATACTGATCACATAGCTGTCTGTATGCACCTGTGTAGTAACACTGGGATATACTGATCACATAGCTGTCTGTATGCACCTGTGTAGTAACACTGGGATATACTGATCACATAGCTGTCTGTATGCACCTGTGCAGTAACACTGGGACATACTGACCACACGTGCACAATTCCCAGACCAAACACTTGAAAGATTGGACCTTTCCATTGCACAAATACTATACCTGGTGTCTTTTCATAAGGCGTTCATTTTTCTTCTTCATATCTTCAATTTTTTTATTTAGCAACACTTCTTTCTCTTCTTTGTTCAATATGTCCAGGAATGTGAAGTCATCCATGGCATCCAATCCTTCGATTTTCTAATCAAATTAAAGAAAAGTTTGGATGAAAATAGACAATAGTCACAATGAAATGAAAACGAATACAACAATTCTGTTGATTGTTACGATAAACAATGAGCATAGAGTAACTTACCAAGAGTTGAGACAATATTCAATTATTACATATATCATGTACTACAGATAATGGTATTGTCTACAACTGTTTAATGTTCTTGGTAATATTTACATAACTCAAACTTGCCAAGTACTATTATGGGATCCCACAATTATTTTTTGTGTAATTTAAATAACAACGCCTAAAGTTACATTCTTGCACACCGGAATATCAATAACCAAGAAATAACTATGCAAATTAGTGTCATTCCCATTCAGAAACCAGATGTGTCCATTGTCTGAGGCAGCACAGTACAGTTTTGAAAGGCACCAAAACCCACATTGAAAGCAAATGAGAATGTTTGATGTCAAGTCTGGGTTAGCATTTTGCTGTAATTTTAACTCACATTTATTCTCATATCAAATTCAAAAATACAGACAAAGAGGCCTTGTGTCACAAACGTCTATAAAATATACTGAATTGTTTTTTTTAGTAAAAACTTTTGTTCTATTCCTGAAAAATCCTGAACAATTAATTTTAATTATTTTAAATCAGTTCAACTATCTAGAACCAAGAACAAATCATTAAATTCTATACATGTAGTTTATGTATGGAGCCTAGATACTAATTAGAATGGCTTAGTTGATTACCAAATTTATTTTAAAAATCTATAAATTGACTAATTATTATGGAAAATAAATAATTATATTGCAAGGATTTGAATTAAAATCTAATTATAATTAATAAGGCCTGCAGATAACGTTAAAAAACCCATATACTAAATATCATTCTGCATGAACATAATAATTCATAACTTTGAAACTTACACCTGACGCCATGCTGGAGATAAAACTCCTTTCCATTTCTTCTAACAACTCTTTCAAATCCTCTTCTGTTTCAGCTGCAAATAAAGAAACAATTTTAAATCATACAAAAACCTATGAATTTGATATTCCATCATACATACATGTACAATTGATAAAAAACAAAACAAGGTATATACTAATTCATTTTCTCCACACAAAAAACCAATTATGCAGCATACATGTATCTAGATTGATGGGAATCAATATATACGCTCCGAAGAAATAAACTAACCTTCCACAAGTTTCCTGACTTTAAACAAATATTGCTGGATGAGGAAGAGTACCCCTGTTGAGTACTTTTATTTAATTTTGATAGCAAAGGAATATGTATATCAATGCAGGTACAGAGAACAAAAGATAAATTTTATTGCATGAACCGGACAGTAAATGATATGTCAATACATCCAAAAGATAGAATAGTATAGCCACAAGAAGAAACAAGTTTAACTCTCATACCAAAAAAATTAAATTTCTAAAATGTCAGCATGGGTAAGGCATATACTAATCATCTTCAGCAATTGTTGAACCCAGAACAGCCTATGTGAACTTTCACCCCTTCACAATGTCTAATATCTCATCATTTTCAACAACATTTGTAACCAGGTGATTTATACGCCATCTCTTTTGTTTACGGTTCACGCATGTTTACAACATGGAGGTATAAACAGATGCCTCTATGTTTGCAGTGACTAGTTGGCAAAAACCAGTCGATCACACCCAGAGGTAAACTGACGACGTTGTTCGATGACATTTTCACTAAATATGTCCCTGTTAATTAAACAACTTACGGACAATGTTGTTACAGGATATCGCAAACTAGTGCCAATCAGCAAGTGACATTTGTTATCAGACAGTGATGTCACAGTACAATAGCCAATACAAACTATATTGACTTTGAAAGTATGCTACAAATAACAAATTTGAAATACAAACAAGCAGCCTATTGGCTGAGATAGCTCCGCTGTTAGCAATGCACATTTCAATTAAAGAACTGAAGACATCATTAGAAAATGAACAATATGTCTAGTATCAAAGCAATCAGACTTTAATACAGTTTTTAACAAGAAGTCAGAAATATCACTTTTACCAAAAATGACCAAAATATTCACCAAAATTAAAGAATCGAAGATATCATCACGAAATGAACAAATCTGAGAAAGGTCTACATGTAGTATCTATATATGTAATATCAAAGCAATTGAACTATTGGTTTTTAACAAGAAGTCAAAAATATCACTTTTTACCAAAAATTACAAAAATATTCACCAAAATTAGAGAATTGAAGACATCATCACAAAATGAACAAATCTGAGAGAGGTCCACATATAGTACCTATATATGTAGTATCATGGCAATTTGACTTGCGGTTTTTAACAAGAAGTCGAAAATATCACTTTTTACCAAAAATGACAAAAATGTTCACCAAAATTAGAGAATAAA